AGCATTGTTTCCCATTTTATAGCTATTTAATTAAAATTCCAATTTAACTGAAACTGAGAACCACAGTAAGAGTATATTTACTTATAGTCCTGTAAAAGAAGAGAAAGCAAGATGTGCTAACACTCAACACACATAAAACTCAATATATAAATATTTAAGATTAAACAAATGGCATTAGTTTTCCAGTTCTTTGGTGGTGTAGTGAACAGGGAGTTCCACTACTAATCCAAAAGCTGTGTCTCTCTGGTGGTTCACTCCACGGAGAAAGATAAACACTCATTCAATTTATGACTCAGAAACTCAATGGAGAGTCAGCTATGAGTTAGTTCTACATTGAGAGCAATATGAATTATTAATTTTTGCTTTTGTTTTTGTATCTTTATAGAGTTCTTACCCTTATTCAAGCATTGAGTAGGCTCTCAAACATACAGCAAAGATACATTTTTGGTTCTTAGGAAGTTTTCAGTCTAGTTAGAGGATTGTTGTTGTGCACCACTGAGTCAGAATTAATTTATAATTGACCCACCCTCCAGAAGGCTTTCAGATGTAGTTTAATACCATGAGAGGAGATTAACCACCTTTCTTTCATGAAGCAGGTGGTGCATTGAAATGGAATATTTTTAGGATAATAGCACAGCACCTAACCACTAGGAAGTAGTCAGGGAAATAAACAATTACAATGCAGCATTGATAAAAAAAAAGAATTTGAGACAAAAACGTAGGTATACAAACAGAAATAAATTATGTATGTCTTCATACAAATAGCTTATAGGTGTAATGTATTCATCAACACTCAAAACTCTATGTAGTGGAGTCATTTCTGACTTACAGCAAACTTCCATTAAATTTACTGAGGCTATAAATTCTACCAGGAGGACATTTTCCCTCTTTCTCTGACAGAGAAGTTGGTGGGTTTGAACAGCTGAAGTTGTCATCTTTTGATTAGCAAAATAATACTCTATGGACCATCACATCTGCTGCTAAATGATTATGTGTGCATAATAATTTAAAAATATGTACTTAATGATAAATCAGACAACAAATCAAGTTTTTCACCTTAGTTTGAAAGTAGATTTCCCCATAAGTTTTCTCTTAAAGGACTTACTAACATTAGAATGTGGACAACAATGATAATTGATGATAAAATAATAGGATTATATCTAAAAATAATTTCCTTAGTTTAGGAAATCAACGTAAGAAGATCTGCAGAAGGAAGATAGTATTCAGTATGAAACATGGAAAACATGAATCAGGCAATTTATGGAATAATCAAGGCTGAAGCTTAAATTTCATTGCTATTCTCCCTATCCTAACTTTTTATACAAAATTAGTGGTGGAAAGAGTATAGTCTTTTTAGAAAGTTATATACTGATATTAGCAGCAAGACTTTGAAAATTACTTGGCTTTATTTAACTACAGGCTGATAACCTACAACCCATAAATCTCTGGTCAGAATTATAAAAGATCAGTTAGGAAAGTGCCTGGTGCATACAGAACAAATAGCAAGCACAGTATTATTGTTTTCGATCTGGTGATGGTGCAGTGTCCTGTCAAGATATGCAATATGTTGTGCTACTAAACGAATGGAGGACAGTTCAAATCCATCAGTTTCTTTCTAGGAGAAAGATGAGCAATCTCTTTCCACAAACATTAATAGCTTTAAAAACCCTCATTGGAAACTGCAGCAGACCAAAACAAATCCTTTCAACAAAGAATCCCTGAGCCTACACCCTCAGGCAAAGATTGATGTTAAAACACAGTTATCTCCAAAAAATGCCAGGGACACAGATACTGAAATGAGACAGATACCTGCTGCTTTATGAATGAAACTTGAAAGCAGTGAATTTGGATTTTGGTTTATTGATATTTTACCTTGTTATGAGGCTAAAGTAGTTGACTTATCATGGATATCATTGGTGCATATCCTAGAAAAACACTCAAACTCATTGTTATACTGTCGTCACAACCAACTCAGAGCTGACACCACAGTGGGTGATTTTGCGCACACTGTTCGTGAGGAGCAGCTAATGGATTCAAACTGCCAAGAGATTAGCAGCACAGCTCCTTAAGGACTATGCTACAAGAACTACCTAAGAGACCTCAGGTTGTTTGTTTTTAAGCAGCAAAATCAAAGACAAATAAGCAAAAAAAAGAACTACTATTATTTTTTAAACTGAGAGGGAAATATAACATTTTTAATATTCCTAACTGAATTGCTAAGCCTTAAAATTCAATATAAAACGTAGACCGAAAAATTGTGCTCATTTATACCTGCCCATAAGTATTATGAGCAAACACCAACTATGTATTATAAGAATATTTAATATTAAAATAATGAATCAATAAAATTATTATAGCTAGGAACACAATAGGATTATGAAAACATAAAGAATTGATTTTTAGGGGAGCTTTGGTTGCTTAGTGGTAAGGAGCTGCAACTACAATCCCAGAGGCGCACGGTTCAAATCCACCAGATGCTCTGCCGGGCAAGGAGGGACAATCTCCTCCTGTACCAGTGAGACCTGATTTGACAGTACACTCACACAAAAATAATAAAATAAAAAAAAGAAGTGATTTTCCCCTATTCTAATAGTTGTTTCTGTGATTTAATTGTAAACTATAGGTGTGGGCTTTTCATTGTCCATTCTCCACTGAAAGTAAATGTCATCATTGAACTGATTCCTGGAAAACCCATTACGATTCAAAGTAAAACTATTCATCAAAAGATTTTTCAGAAATATCCTGTCAGATCTCATTTCTAAGGTACCTTTGAGTAGACCCAAACCTCTAACCTTTTGGTTAGCAGCCTAATGTGTTAATGGGGAGCATTGGTGGTCCAGGTGCAAAAAGCGGTGCTATGATCCTGAGGGCATGCAGTTCTATTCCACCAGCTGCTCTGCAGGAGGAGGCTGTGCAATCTCCTCCACTGAAATTAACTGCCTCTGAAATCCTGCCCTAGGGTCCATTTGACTCAAGAGCACACAACAGCAACAACAACAACAACAATAATAACAACAACAGTGTGTTAACCTTATACTCCATGCAGGGAATATGACTGATAGTTTCAATTTAAAGGGGATCCCTGGTGTCCTAGAGAGTAGAGAGTTGCACTGTCAACTCAAAACCACAGAGCTTGAATTCATAGGCAAAAGATGGGCAATCTTCTCCCTTGCCATTTGCAGGCTCTAAAAACCATACAGATCAGTTACGAGTAATGCCGGTATCATGTTGTTGTTGTGTACTGTAGAGTCAAAACTGATCTATAGCTTACCTTTCAGAGGGTTTTCAGAGACAGTTAATCGCACAGGAAATTACCCATCCTTCTCCCATGGACCAGCTGGTGGATCTGAACTATGTTCCTTCGGGGTTGCAGCACAGATTCTTAGCACAAAGCCACCGTCATTGTAGTACATATAAACTAATTAAGGGAGGGCTGATGTGTAGTCTGTAGGGAGTTATGATGTCAACCTAAAAGTGCTGCTAACCGAAAAGATCAATGGTTTCATGGGAGAAAGATGGAAGTTGCCCTTCAGTACAAATATACTTGGAATCAGCTGTGACTGAACATTACTGAGTGTATAACAACCTTAATCTTATTTCTCTCTGTTGGCAAATTAATAAAGAAAGACATTGACCTATTTCACCTTGGCTTTCATTGTTTCTTCTATTTCCCATCCCAGGCTTTTCTCCATTTTATTTTCAAATTTCTTCTTCATTATATTTTGAATCTCTTAATTTATTTTAGCAGAAAATTTTCAACCTTTCTATGCAGATTCATCTTGGAGAGGGTTAATCTGGGCAGCTCCTTGGAGGCAAGGATTCTGAGGCTTCATCTGACATACTTTAGATATGTTGTAAGGAGGTACCAGTCCCTGGAGAGGGACATCATACTTGGGAGGGTGGAGGGACAGTGCAGGAGGGGAAGGCTCCCTATGAGGTGGATTGATTCAGTGACTGGGGTAATAGGGGTGGGTGTATTAGAGACAGTGCGGTTGGCAAAGGACAGAGCAGAGAGTTTAGGACTTTTGTACATAAGGTCGCTATGAGTTGCAAGTGACTGATGGCACATAACAACAACAACAGGGCATATTATATTTAAAATCATGAATGGATAGTTTAGAAAATGTCCAGTTTTATCTGGAATGGAAAAAAAAATCCCCAAATAAGTAAAGCACTACTGAAAAAGAGAGACAAGGTAAGAAGCATCACACTCCCTGATTTCAAATTCTACTACACAGCCGTGGTGGTCAAGACAGTGTGTTGCTTGTATAGTGACAGACATATAGATCAATGGAATAGAACTGACAGCCCAGAAAATCAGTTTATCTATGTATGGTCAACTAATTTTTAACAAGGAGGTGAGACCAATTAAATGGAGAAATGATGGCCTTTTAAACAAATGCTTTTGGCAAAAATGGAAAACCATCTGTAGCAAACTCAAGCAAAACCCACACTTCACACCATCCACAAAACCCAACTCAAGGTGGATTGAGGAGACCCTAGGAATAAACTCAAACTCTGTAAACTACATAAGGGAAAGTCTTGGAAGAACATTAGAAGCCCTGATCCACAGCATGAGAAGTCTCTCAAGCATAATGAAAAAACTCCAACCAGGAGAGAAAAATATTGATGAATGAGACCTTCTAAGAACCAAATCCCTATGAGTATAAAAAAAACATCTCCAACAGGTCAAAAAAAGGAAACCCATAGACTGAGAAAAAAGATTTGACAAAGACATGTCTGATAATAGACTCATATCTAAAATGATGAAATATCTATCCTGACTCTTAACTAATACTCTAGCAGGTTTTCAAATGCTATAAATTGCACAGGAGATTATCCATCATTCTCTTCAGGAGCCATCTGGTGGATTCAAACAATCAGAGAGGAGTGGGTTTTCGATTAGCAAGCAGCTCACCACCCTAAGGACTGGGTTTTTACCTAAGAGATCATTCTAGTAATTATGTTTGCAATCAATAGAATTTTTCAATTATACTTACTCAAATTTTAAAATTCTGCAGTTTCTGTATGTATTCTTCAGATTGCTTGATTGAAAAATGTCATCTATCTAGAAGAGAAGATGAAAAAATAGTTTTAATACTTGAATCTTAGTTGAAAACGTTAGTTGTAAATGTTATGTTTTGTTTAACACTTGATTAGAGACAATTTGTTTCTCACAGCAGTGGTGGGGTTCAAAGTATTAAGCATCTTTTCACATTACAATATTCAAACCACTAGACTGCTAACTTGGTGGGCAGCCTGAGAAAGATATAGCAGCCGGTTTCTATAAAGATGTATTTCTTTGGAAACCCAAAGAGTCTGTCCTACAAGGACTCTGTGAGTTGTAACAGACTTGACAGCTGTGGATTTGGTTTTGGTAGCTCATTATATTTATTTGCTAATTCTTTTTTATAGTAAGAAACCAGAATCTTATGCAGCTTTTGATAAGTAGCGAACATATGTTATGAAATCTTAAAACAGCTCAAGAGGAACAGTCACCTACCATTTGCTGAAGGTCAAATGCAAGAACTTTGAAATCCACTGAGAGTTTATCTTGCAAATTAGGATTATAAGAAGCTCCAGATGTTATTTTAAATGTCCCTCTGGCTTCATGACTTTCTTCAAAAACTATACCTGGATGGATTAATAAGAAAAAAAATTAGACATTTGAATAATAAATAATATGCACATTTTATTTAATACACAAAAAAACCTTCTCATTTGATATATTGACCCTGCCACTTAGACTATTTTTTTGTGCTCTTTTTGCTTCAAAGCCAACCTGGTTGTCTTTAAAAAACAAAAGCAAAACTGTTTTCCCCCTATTCTTTTCACATATTTGTCTTTTTCTTTTAAGTCGAATCCACACTTCAAACATCTCAAGTTTTTTGTTTTTAAATTGAGATGCCTGTTGGAAGTTACCAGAACTGATAAACTTTGACCAATTATGGTAACTGATTCAAGGAGACATGTTGAGAAATGAACCATTAAAAGTTTTGTAGCAGCTTTCAGACTCTTCTTGAACACCTAGCATCCACGGACACTGCTGGTTCTCTCCAGGTAGATTGCTGTGAGGATTCCAGTTTGTGTGATAACTTTGAAACATATCTTTGAAGATACTTCTTTCATTCCAATAATTGTAAAATTGTCATGAATAACCTTTTGCCATTTAATGACACTTGTTATTGAAGAATTTATTGAAAAAGATGAAAAAATATATTCTCTTACAATACAAAGAGAATATTTTTAACTAATTTAAAATAAACTGAATAATAAAA